CCAAAGCAACATGGCTTTGTTTATCGCAAGGGTTGCGTCTCAAACCTGCTAGAAACTCGGGATATCATGACAGAAGCCATTCATCGCAGCCATGCAGTAGACGTCATATACAAAGACTTTGCAAAGGCGTTTGACAAAGTGTTGCACAAACGCCTTCTTCATAAACTAAGAGCCTACGGTATTCAAGGCACGCTGTTAGACTGGATCTCAGCTTAGTTACACGACCGAACTCAACGAGTGGTCATCAACGGCATCACATCTGAATGACAAACGGTCACTAGTGGTGTGCTCAAGGCTCAGTCTTGGCCCCATTGCTCTTCGTAATCTATATTAATGACCTGCCGGTCAAAATTAGTCATCATATGAAACTGTATGCTGACGACAGTAAAATTATTGGCATAATTAAAAACGAGTCGGATAGCATCACTCTCCAAGCCGACATTGACAGAGCAGTGGAATGGTCACATATTTGGCTTATGCATTTCAACATTGAGAAATGCAAAGTAATGCCTGTTGGCTGCACTTGTAACAAGATGACGCACAATTACTTAATGGCCAACATTGACGGCACGCGTTATCAACTCGAAAAGATTGTAGTTGAACGAGACCTTTGTGTGATGGCCTCCAAAGATCTTAAAGTGAGACCGCAAGTAGAGTCAGCTGCATCAATTGCGAATAGAACGCTAGGGCGACTCAAAAAAACATTTCGGAGTCGCAGTTTTTATTTATGGCGCACATTGTATCTTATTTACATTCGCCCCCACCTCGAGTTTGCTGTTCCAGCCTGGTCGCCGCATTTAAAGTCCGACATTGCTATCTTCGAACAAGTCCAACATCGAGCAACAGAAACAATATCATCTATTAAACACTTGTCCTTTAAAAATTGACTCCAACAGCTCGGTCTAACAACACTTGAAGAACGCCGTAAAAAAGCAGACCTAATCGAACAATTTAAAATCACGCGTCAACTCGAACTTGTCAATTTTTTCGTTCCACAAAAAACTTTCAAACGGTAAAGCCTAGTATATTTTGAGAGGGCATAATCAAAAACTAAAACGCCATCTTGTACGAAGTTGTGAAGAACGACAAAACTTTTTTTCAAATAGAGTTGTAGTCCCATGGAATGCGCTTACCCAAGCAGTAGTGAACGCTCCATTTATCCATGCTTTCAAAAACAGTATAACAAAGTAACTTTTAGAGACACAATTGCTGCTTTGTCTGTAGCTTCTGTGTTTTTTATTTTCGTCAGCATAGTATATAAAAACAGCATAAATAATAATCTATACGCAGTAATTAGCGGGTATCATCTAATAAAAACGCTATTAATTTTTTGCGTTGTTAAAATAATATCATCACGCATGAATAAATCTGTGGCGCGAAAATTTGGTGTTAAAATAATAAAATTAATTTTTTGATAAAGAAAAACAGGTTAGTTAAAAATTCAATCTATTTTTGCTTGAAAAACAATGTATAGAAACATTTAGTTTTGACTTTATTTAAAGATGCTATTTTTGTGTAATATGAGCATGGTCAAATTACCCAGTGTTTTTCATTTAAATTACCTAGTTTAAAGTCCTAATACAGCAGTGGTTTTAATTGCTTTTTGAATATAAACAAAACATAGTAAAAGATTGAAATATTTTTAAACAATGCTAAATATTCTTTTGTAATTTAAATTCAAAAGAATTAAATTTTTATTGTTCAAAGATTTTAGTTAATGAAATTGAAAACATAACGAACTAATTTTTTTTCCAGAAAACATAGTTATATATATATATATATATATATATATATATATATATATATATATATATATATATATATATATATATATATATATATATATATATATATATATATATATATATATATATATATATATATATATATATATATATACACCGTAGAATCTCTTTAACTTGGACTCTGAAGGGGTATATGTTTATTATCCGACTTAGCGAATGTCCGAATTAAGCAAAGCTCTCGTTAAGTCTTTTTGAAAAAATCTGACTTATTGAGATTTCGAGACTTATCGAATGTTTTTCGATATATAAATGTTATGTACATATATAAAGAACAATATAATCTTATGTAAAATAAATATTTTTGTATATATAATACATATTATAAACAAAAAAAGTCCGAAATTGATGTTTGTTTTAGTGACTCGCATAAATCTTCCGGAACAAGATCTTCATCACACTGACGTAACTGATCAATTGAATTTTTTAATTCAGGAAAGTATTCTTCAACTTTGTCTGGTACTCCTACTTCTTTCTTAAATCCTGCTTTGCGGAAGCAGTTAATAATAGTGGTTTCTGAAACTTCATTCTAAAAATGAATAAGCATTTTCATAGCATTAAGTATGGAGATTGAAGGCATTTTTTTTCCATTATCAAAAGCATTTGTCATCTTGTTAATTAAATTAGTTCGGTACTTAAACTTCAACAATCAACTGACTCCTTGATACATCGGCTGCAAACATGAAGTTGTGGGAAAA